ACCTAAGCCCAGGACAACCTTGAATTATATTTTTACTTTTACCCAGTGATTTTGTTGTTTTTGTTGTTGTTGCTGTTTTGTGACTTGACATGGATGCCAGACTCTGTGATATGGACACATTCTCTCTCAAAACCTGTAACAGCCAGACTTCCTTTGTCCTTCAGAACTGAATGGCCCATCTTTTCCTGGAGGGCCCCGTCATGCTATCCACAACAGCTGTCTCTTCTAATGTCGCTTTGCTTCAGACATGAAGGCCTGCTCCCTTCTTTAGGGCCCCACCGTCACTGTCAAGGCAATGTTGGGGTGACTCCTGATAAGGCTCTTTAGAAAGGAGATGCTTCTCTGTTTCCTGTGAACCGCTTACGACAGCTTGTGTTTTAACATGTGATTAGCATGATCACATGTTCATGTGATGCTCGAGGGAAAGTATAGAATGCATGTTTACATGGCCACATTCCTCTGCTGAATTTGTAACCTGCCTTAGGAAAGTCTGACCTGTGGGTCTTCAGAGACACATTAGATAAGGTCTCTGCTGTATATTAATGGCAGCTAAAATACTTGATTTGACTATATAAAATAAAACAGATAGGTGTATATGAGCCGGCTCTTAAACATGCCAATCAAAACACACCATACTCCAAGGGATATATTCTCCCAGGTACCCTAGTAAATGGCATATGTACTGTTTAACTTTTTGTTTGTTTGCTTGCTTGTTATTTAATTTTTAGCTTTTGCATCCCAATCAAAGCTTTCTCTCCTGTCTCTTCTCAGTTTCTAACCCCCCACCCATCCCATCCCTTCTCCACTATTCTCTTCAAATACAGGCAGGCTTCCGTGGATATCAGTCAGCCATGGTACATCAAGTTGCAGTGAGACTAGGCACCTCCTCTTCTCTTAGGGGTGGATGAGGCAATCCAGTAGGAGGAATGGGTCCTAAAAGCAGGCAACAGAGTCAGAGACAGCTTCTGCTTTCACTGTTAGGAGTCTCACACAAAGACCAAGTTACACAACTTTAACATGCAAAAGGCTTTCCTACTTAGGTCAGTCCATGTGGATACCCTGGTTGTTGGTTCAGTCTCTGTGAGTCCCTGGGAGCCCAGATTAGTTGGTTATGTAGGTTTTCTTGTGGTGTCCTCGACACCACCGTATCCTATAATCCTTCCTCCCCCTCTTCCGCAGGATTCTCTGAGATCCACCTAACGTTTGGCTATGGGTCTCTGCATCTTTAACCTGGTCTTCTTAAAGTGAGCATTCTTCTTCCTATCTGTTGATAAAGATGCTTGACAAACTGAAATAACTTGTCTACGATCACACAATGAATATGTAACCAACCTGAGATTCTACTGCAGGATTCAAACCCAGGTCAGCCTTTCTGAGAGCCACCCTCCTTTCTCTATGGTCCCTCACCTCCTGAGCAACACAAGGGATAAGTTCCAGGAGCTTCCCACCTTTTGCGGGTTTAGATTCTACTGTTGGATATGATAAAGGTAAGATAGAGAGACTTTTAAATCACCTAAAAATTAGTTATATAAGGTTTAATATCATGATTGTATAAATATTCAATGGATATATACATATAAAAGGTAAAGTTATGCTATTTTTAACTAAATAAAAGAAACTGAACTTACAGAGCCAAACTCATGTAAGTTAAATTACTATATGATAATTTTTTGCATACACATGCATTTAACTGTGGGCCAGTTTAACAGAATAGTGTGGTAGGATTGTGCAACTTAAAAGCCAGGTGAGGGCTTCTGGCATCTGCTGATTCATTCTACCTTTGGGTGAATCTAGGCCCAAAGAGGCTGCCCAATTTCAGTGTCTACTTTTGTTTCTAAAGCCTTCTGTAATGGAGTGTCTGCTACAGCAAAGAAGAGAGGAGAAAGAACTTAGTTGCCCTTATGTTTGCCCCTCGTGGCCCAACCAACCCCATCTATAAAATGCAGTCACAGTCTGGGCTTCTTGTTCTGCAGGAAGAGAGCTGTTTACTGCCGTTTCAGCTTTATGTTGTAGCTGTCTTCTTGAGGAGAGTCAATCCCAGCCCATGGTAGCTCTTCTCTGTGCAGTTCTGGGAATTGTTCTGAGTCCAGGGGTGTTGAGAAAGGGATAGTGATCTGTAGCCATAGAGCACACTGTACATCATGGATATATGGACCTCCATCCCTTTGAGGCAGGATATATGATGTGGTCAGCTGTTGACTTGTAATGAGACAGCACTAACTCGGAAGAATTGAGACAAAACTGGGGAGTGCCTATGGCTCTTGGTGGGCTAGACAGTGACAGTCAGGATCAAATTGTAGAGATGAAGGGAGATGGGGCTGGAGAGATGGCTCAGCTGTTAAGAGCACTGACTGTTCTTCTCAAGGACCTAAGTTCAATTCCCAGCACCCACATGGCAGCTCACAACTGTCTGAAAATCCAGTTCCAGGGGATCTGACACTTTCACACCAATGCACATAAAATAAAGTTAAATAAGCCATAAATTTTTTTTTTAAAAAAGATGAAGGGATATGAATGCTACTTTTCTCATCTTGTGGCAAAAATTCCAAACAACAGACACTGAAGGACAGAAAAGCTAATTTGCGCTCGCGGTTTGAGGGATCCCTGTCAGCTGCGGAGGGCAAGGCATGGCAGCAGGCAGCTCCATGGCGACAGGAGTGTGTGGCTGGCACTCCTCACCTCCTCACATCATGGTGGAACAGAATGTAGAGAAGGAACAGGAAATGGGGCCAGGTCATAAAACCTCAAGATCCACCCACCCACCCAGTGACCCACTTCCTTCAGCAAAGGTTCACCTAAAGGTTCCACAACCTTCCAAAACAGAACAAACACTGGGAACCAAGTGTTCAAACACATTGGCTTATTTTAAGCCACAATGAGAGTAAACAGCACTGACCTTCAGTCTGTGAACTGACACCCATACCTCCTTGGGTTCCTCATCAGATCTCACAGCCCTCTGACCTGTCTTCATTCCCCAAGCTGCATGCCAAGATTGCGAGCAACTCCTCCCGAGACGGCAGATGCCAATGAGACCAAGGTACTTCCAAAGGAAGCGATGGAAGGAAAAATCTGCCAGATTACAAAGATATTTCGAGGCTACATCCATGCCTTTTTGATGTGCTTCAAGCAACAACTCAGCTCATGCTGCTGTTTTTGTGCTGTGGAGGGGGACCAAGTAGGAAATCTGAGGAAGTCATAGTCCGGCCTGAATAATTCTTCATGCCTGAATTTAAAGATGCAAGCTGTCCTTGTGAAATACAAATCCCTATCCATTCTCATTTCTCACATCTTTGTTTTTATACCTAAAAACCACTTCATTCTGCAGAAATTTTGAACCCAAAAATATGGGTCACATCCCTTAAGAGTTTTACATTCCCTCTTTATGTTTTCCTTCCAGGCAATTCATGTAATCCCAGCCACTCCCTCCTCTGTCAGAACTCCTAACTGGGGCTAATGCAAGGTTTCAGGTCCTTTCGAGAGACAAAGCTATTTTGAAAATATGTGGTGATTAGTCAATATACCAGGACACCAAGACATTCAACAAAGGGACTTTCAAGGTCAGCCTTGCTCAATTTGTGCAGCTGGGTTGATGACTTACATCTCCTGCCATGAAAGACCCACGGTGGTATTGCAGGAACGATGGTTCTCAGAACTCCTGCTTCTGGAATTACTCGGGGAACCTGTTAGCATGCCAGGCCCGGGTTCAGGAGCTGGAAAGTGGACTGAGCTTACTTACCTTCCCTCTGTGAGCAAACGAGGGCCCATTTGAAAGGCAGATCATCTTCAGCTTGTTCACTGAAGACTCTGACATGATCATCTGTGTGCCGAACAGCACTCCCTCGGCACATTGGGGGGTGGGGTGGGGAGAGCTGGCAAGTCGGTATCATCAATAGAGACGCTTCTTGATCTCTTGCATTGTCTGGGAACCTTCTCTGTAGACCTGCTTCTCAGCCAAGGGACACTTAGATTTTATCTTGACTGGAAGTAAGTCCTGGGGCAGCTTGGCCATGAAAGTTGGTACCGCTTCAGAAAAATTCCCCAACAAATTGTCATTCCTTGCCAACCAAGAAACCTCCTCTGAGAACACAGGGCATTCTCAGTTATCCAAGATTTAAATAGTCAACACCAACCAGGTCTACAAAAAGATTGTGCTTGGAGGTAGCGTGGTCTATGTACAAATTTCACAACTGATGCGGTGGTATCCGTGTGTGCTTCTACTGTCTCCTGTAAAAAATGACCTTTGACCTTTCTCTTGGGTTTATTATAATAATTGGTGGAAACACTGTCCACCAAATTCTTAAGTCTGGGTTGTCGGAAAACAGAGCTCTGACTGGCATGCAGGATGTCTTCATGCTATTGGAAAACGCTATCCACCTGCGAGTAGACAATGCTAGAATACACCACTTTCTCTAGGATGGGTCAGGCTGGTTCCTAGGCTGATGTCTTTTGGAAGTGGAATACGCTGCTCAGCTAGCACCCTTTAGGCTAGGCATTATCTACAAACCTGAGGCTGAGGTTCAGTCAGCACCCTTTAGCTAGAGCAATGGACCTAGGAAAGAGATTAATGAAGAGACCCCGCCCCCACCCCAGATCCTACACCTCTTCCACAGGCTCCCCAGGATTCTGCCTGTCTACAGGTCCAGGCAGAATTGCACCCTCCAACGAGGGAGAGTGGGAGGACTAAGTACTGCGGTGCTAAGCTCAGCAAAGGCTCCTCTTGATAAACAGCGAGAACGGAGAACAAAAGCACCACAGTACCACGTCAAGGGGCAGGGTTTTCTTTTCTGAGCCTTCTACCAGCTGATCCCGCTTCCTGTTTCTCTAAGGGCTTCCCTGAGAGGCAACTTGCTTCATATTTGGTCATTGCCCTCTCACCTTCCCGGGTGAGTCGGTGCAGCTGACCTTGTACCCTTCGAGCTCCAGGGCTCCAGTGTGTACCCTGTCCATTTCCCAATCTTCTCAGGTGACACCCCCCTCCCTCCACACTGAACAGAGAAATCGTCCCACCCACAGCCCACAGCCTACAGCCCTCTGCCTCTGAGACAGACGCGCATGCACCGGGGACGTGAGTCACGGCATTCACCCATCCTCTCCATCTGAAGCTATAATTGGAATGGCTGTGCACGCAGTGCACGCCTGCTTCCTGTATTTCACAGGCCAGGGCTCCAGGAGCTGCTAACCACACACTGCTCAGCCCGAGATGCCACTTGGATGATCACGAGGTGGTTGCTCGGAAGGGTGACTGCTTCCAAGAAAGCAGGTTGGTTGAGTCCAGATATCCCCACCTCCTTCGACTAGCATCAGCCATGTGTCTGGGACATGTGCCTAGCAGTGTGCCTGCCTTTGTGGGTGGTTCAAAAGAAATTGTTCTGGATTGAGTTTAGAGGAGGAGGCAGGAGCATGGAAAGCAAGAAAGGGCATTGCAAACACATGTGCTAAGCAAGCTCTCCAGGCAGAGGGAGCTGGGGAGGTCCATGGAGGAGGAGAAAAGGAAGAGGGAGCCAGAAGATAGGTAGCTGTGGGGGAAATGATGGGCCAGAAGCCATCAGCTCAGGGAAGATGCATAGGGGGTATGAGTTGGACTTGTTCCCACAAACCTAAGCATTGAGGTAAGTCTGAATTTTGAAGCTGCCTCCTCTCTATGCTAGGGGATTAGTCGTTTCATATGGTTTTGTCTGTTTGTTTAGGAATGTTTCATTGCCAGGCAAAGTTATTTTCTCCTCCTTCCCTTAGTAGAGAAAGAAAGTGAGGCCAGAGAGGAAAAGGCCTGAGCTTTCAGTCCATCCACCAGAGCTGAGGGATGACATGCACAGCCCAGAGTCTGCCTTCCTTCAAGCGTTATGGCCATAAGCAGTGAGAGATGTTTTTCTTTAGGTGGAAATGGGAAGGGGTGGGGTTAGCCTGATTTCTCCACCCCTTTTCTGTGAAAACCTAAGGTCAACCTCACCTTTTAGATACAGATCTTGGTTTGTGTCCAAGCTGCTGGGCTCTCAGGAAAGTTCTGGTGCCCCTTGCAGGTTGGATAATGCTGGTCTCCCTAAGTTTGGGAAGACCATTTCCAGGCTGATCTGACACAGGCTGAGTTCCTGACAGAGGCAGCGATTAACGTCCAATTTTCCCTATTGGACATGAGCATGCAAACCTGAGCATAAATATACGTACAAAGACCTTTGCCTAGAGCATCTTCAGATCCTAGGAAAGAAGACTGGGATTAGAAAAGCAGTTCCCAGGCCTGTGGTGGGGGTCAGTCACAGAAGGGGTTCTCAGAAGCCCATTTATCAGCAGACCCTTAGCACGATCTATATGGAGAGAATGGGGTGGGGGTGGGGGTGGGGCAAGACATCTCTCCTCAAGTCTCAAGCATACATGGCATCTCATAATACCTGGGAGCCACGTGGTCCCTTCCTTCCCCTGACAATGTGAGGAATTGGCAAGAACTCAACAGCCCACTGTGGTGAGTCACCAACCGTCTTGAGGACCCTTTCAGTCTCCTTCAGTTTGTTACAAGTGACTACACTTCTGTCCCTCATCACCTGGAAAAGTGGGGTGGAAACAGGGCACATCTATGACTTAAGGTTAGCTGACTTTGTTCTGCTCCTAGATGCAAATCGTAGAGTGGCTGAGTCAGGACAGTTGAAGAGAGGACTGTGGGAGGCAGTATGTGGATCCCTTCACCGTGATGGAGAGAATTACCATGTGACACACTTCCACTTGGAAATACTCATCACCAAAGAACGGAAACCAGGGAATTGCACACATATGTGTACCCAGGTTCACACTGCAATATTCACAGTAGCCTCCTAAGGGTCTGTGGGCAGGGGAGGGAAGTTTTCAATGCAGCACATGCATCCAGTGGGACATTATTGAGTCTGTGAAAGGTGGAGAGCCTGTCAGGCCGAGCAAGATGGGTGACTTACATAACATGTCGTGAGGAGTCAGTTTAGAGACAGAAATGTTGGAATAGTGCTTGCCAGACACCAGAGGGAGGGAGACTGGGTAGTTGTTTCATGGGTATAGAATTTCAGTTTTGTAAGATGAGAAAGTTTGTGTCATATGTATTTCATCACATTTTTTAATTTTGAGAAATGAAAAGGAAAGCCTGCATTCTGTCTCATACGTGACTACAGCTATGTGAAATGCTAGATCACTGTGGCCGGGGAGATTGGCAGTGATGTAGAGATTGGAAGCACCTCTTTGTCCTTGCTTCCATAGACAGAACAAACATGCACAGTGTGACAGGCCGAGGGAGACCGGAAGATTCCCCCAAGAGCATCTATGACTCACCACAGCGTGTAGATGGAGTTTCTGTCCCACCGAGTCCCACAGCCATTCAATCCCAAATAAACACACAAAGGCTTATAACCGTTATAAACTGATTGGCCTATTACCTCAGGCTTATTGTTAACTAGCTCTTACAACTTAAATTAGCCCATAATTCTTATTTATGTTTAGCCATGTGGCTTGGTACCCTTCTCAGCAAGGCATTCTCATCTTGCTTCCTCTGCTTCTGGATGTTGACTGCCTCTGCCTTTCCTCTTCCCAGAATTCTCTTAGCCTGGTTGCCCCACCTATACTTCCTGACTGACTACTAGTCAGGAAATTTTCAAAATATATATGTTGGATTAATCCAGCAGCATTCATAATCAAATGTCTTTTAGCAGCTGTTGCTCCTTCCTCAGCAGTCAATTTGAAGACAACACAATAGCATACAGTATCCAGATTTTCTGTGTATTTCCATCTTTACATGGCTTTATTTTTTTACTCTCTTTTATTTTTACTTTTAATTTTTAATTTTTTGAGACAAGGCTTCTCTGTTTATCTTTGGCTGTCCTGGAAGTCACTCTGTAGACCAGACTGCCCTTGAACTCACAAAGATCTGCCTCCCAAGTGCTGGGATTAAAGGCGTATGCCACCACACACAACTACTCTATTTCTTTCTCTTTTTTAAAGGACTTTGTCTATCCTTTTTTTTTTCCACTCCCAAGCCTACATATATTTTTTTAAACACACTGTAAACTGTTTAGAGACTTTTTTTCATCTGAATCTGTTTTTACTATATATCTCTCTTTTTCTGACCACATGAGTCCTTTAATTTACTGAGTGATATGACTAGGATTGAAGTTGCGGCTTTGCTGGCTAGATCTGCCCCATTCATTGACTTCCTGAGAGTCTAGCCTCATGTTAGAAGTACTGGCAGGAGCCTTTTTTTTTTTTACTACAACTCTGGAGTCTCTAGGTCCATGTCTCCACCAAGAAGCAAGCCAGCAACTGCTCATAAACACCATTTAAGTGTTTGGTGGCAGGGCCTCCTAAAAGAACTGCACAGTTTTTGCTGCTGAGTCAAGAAGCCTCTCTTAAAACATTGGCACCACTGCTCACCTCTAGCAAACAGATCCCACCTGAGACAATGTCTCTACCAAGAAGCCACTCTTGACTTTGTTCTTTTGTCTTTCTAGAATCCTTTTCTTAAAGCTTTCTCAGACTTTATGTGAAAATTTATGGCAAACATTTGGGCACTGTAAGATAATGCTCTTGTACCCTATAAAGATTTGTCACTTGTATTGGTTAAATAAAGCACTGATTGGTCAGTAGCCCAGCAGAAAGTATATGTGGGACAACCAGACTAAGAAAATTCTGGGAAGAGGATAGGCAGGGTCAGCCACCAGCCAGATGCAGAGGAAGCAAGATGAGAATGCCTTACTGATAAAAGGTACCAAGCCATGTGGCTAAACATGGACAAGCATTATTGGTTAATTTAAGTTGTAAAAGCTAGTTAATAATAAACCTGAGCCAACCAGTTTATAATTGTTATAAAACTCTGTTTCTTTGGGACTGAATGGCTGTGGGACATATAAATTTCATTTATAACAGTAGGCTACAAGTTTCTGCCACCTCCTTCCATAGCTGTTCAGGAATGCACAGCTCGGTGTCTCTTCTGGATTCCACCACCCAGTAATCCTGGCCCATAGAAGGAAAGGTGTCTGCATTTAAGATCATCATGCAGCAGGCTCAAGAGACTTGCCGAGAGGTGTGATAGCTTCTCTGACTTTCAATTTCCCAAGATCCGGGTACTTTCTTTCTTAGAAGAAAGTGAAACATAGAAATGATTTTGAAATCTGATTTAAAACTACTGCTTTAACAGGCCCCTGAGAAACAATGCCCATCAGTCATTCTATTGACCTTTTTTAAACAAAATGAAGTGATCTTTGTATGATATCCAGAGGAAGAGATTTACTAGGGTTAACAACAAAAAGAATGGGGATATCCCAGAGAAAGGGGGGGGGAGGACAGAAGTAAGAGCAAGTTTTTTTTTGTTTGTTTGTTTTTCGAGGCAGGGTTTCTCTGTGGCTTTGGAGCCTGTCCTGGAACTAGCTCTGTAGACAAGGCTGGTCTCGAACTCATAGAGATCCACCTGCCTCTGCCTCCCGAGTGCCACCACCACCCGGCTGCAAGTATTTGTTTTTAAGGTGTTTGTTTAGCATTTTATGGTTAGAAACACTGAACTGGAGCTGTATAATTGACCAGGGAAGGGATACCTCAACCCACTAGGAACATAACACTCCAAACCACCATGCAACTTTTTGGCAAATAACAAAACTGGTAAGTGTGCCGGTTGGCTACTGCATGAAGGGTTAGCCACTGGGGAACAGAGCATCATTTTGTATGCCTGCTTTTTGTTCTCTCCTGTATCTCCAAGCTCTAGACCCAGTGTTGCCCACACACTCTCCCTCACTTCAGACTTTTCTCAGTGGCATTTTCTGAAACCTCCCCCACCATTCCATCCATAACCTGGATGGAACTGTAGAATACTGCTGCCATGTTAGTTCAAAGTTTACCATGGGTCAGAAGGTTTTAATCTGATGCGTCGCCGAGTGTAAAAAACATTGCAAAGGTCATGGTTTGGAATTCTGAGATGAAGAAGGATCTGGAGTGTTTCAGTAAAATGTGAGGTGACAAAACTCACGGTTCATCTTGTTTAAAAACCGACTATCAGCAGCCTATTATTTAATTTGTTTTTTCCTGAAATTCATCTTTGGGGAAACAAAACCAAAACAGATCTACTCTATTCCCTACGCTAAATATTCATGGGTTTCTCTAGGCCTTCAACAAAAGTGTGAAGAAAACCAGTAAAAAGCATTCCAAATAAGTTGAATCAACAATACTGTAACTGAATTTCAGAATAAATCATGATGGCTCTCTCACCGTAAGAATCACCAGTAAATTGTGTGTGTGTCCAAGCAGAACCTGTTTCTGTTCTTGCAGAATGGAACCTTAAGTGATGCTGCCTCACTAGTTTCCAGAGTCATGTTCCAGTCAGTTCAGGCTTCTTGGTGCCTCTCTGGTTCACATGCAACATGAAGCACTCCAATTAATCAACAGCAAGAGCTTTAACGTGCCAGAATCTTCTGAAGAAGAAGGCAGTGGCCAGCCAGATGTTCAAGAGGGTACCACCCTGCAGACTGACCACAGATGCTGTGGCTCTATAGCTGATCATGGGCAGCTGACCTGGAGATGGATAGCCACTTCTGTTTACACACTGCCGAATGGTTAGACATGATCAAAGGGGTGCTAGGTTCACACTTGTAGGCTTCTGAGTAAACCCTGAAATTGGATTTTTGATTTTTTGATCATAGCAAAGCATGAGTCAAATTGCTTTGAAAGGTATTTAAATTCTGAGGTTACTCCCTCTCTGTATCCACACCTCTGCTCCCTCTCAATCCTGGAATGAGTGGGGGAAACAGGTACAGTCAATTCCTCCAAATTTTTATTATTTCTGGGAGCAGGACACTAGTTAACAGAAGACGTGGTTTCTAGAGCCTATTATGCCTCTAAGTAGCCTGGAGAGTTTGGGGGCACCTAGACAATAGTGTTTAGCTTTGTTGCACTAAGTAGATTCTGTAGTGATATTTCATTTGTATTTTAATAAATAAAGCTTGCCTGAAGTTCATAGAGTAAAAAAGCCCCCACTGGTCAGCCTTACAGACCAGGCAGTGGTGACACATACCTTTAATCCCAGAAGCCATACTAGTTTGCCATAGAAAGAAGGCAGTAGTGGTGCACACCTTTAATCCCAGGACTAGAGAGGAATATAAGATGGGAGGAGACAATTCTCAGACACAGTCTCATTCTAAGATTCCTGGAGGCAGGATCGCCATTTTGGACTGAGGTAGAGATAAGAGCCAGTAGCTGGCTGTTTGCTTTTCTGACCTTCAGGTTGAACCCCAATTTCTGTCTCTGGGTTTTTATTAATTGTGCTACAAGATGTGGCAAAAAGAATGATGGCATGGTGTCCTTTTACACACTTCCTTGGTTCCTGTACTGCCTGGTAAATGCTCCCCGTTTTCATTCTTGACCTTTCCAGCTTTCCAGCGAATCTGTGGAGCTTTACCACACAAAGATCTTCCAGCCTCACTTCCCCAGCTGGCCAAAATACAAGCTAGTAGCTGTAAAGGAGAAAGTCCAATGGTAAGGGAGTGGGAGTGGGGGTAGGTGGGAGCAGTGGTGGAGTATAGGATAGTAGGAAGCATGTTAGCCAGCAAGTTATGACGTGTGGTGTAGCTTTAGAGCGATGGTGGTGCACGCCTTTAAACCCAGCACTAGGGAGGCAGAGGCAGGCGGATCTCTCTGCGAGTTTGAGACCAACCTGGTCTACAGAGCTAGTTCCAGGACAGGCTCCAAAGCCACAGAGAAACCCTGTCTCGAAAAACCAAAAAAAAAAAAAAAAAAAAAAAAAAAAAAAAAAAAAAAAAAAAAAAAAAAAAAAAAAAAAAAAAAAAAAAAAAAAAAAAAAAAAAGAATGGCCAACAGAGCTAATTTCTGCTAATTTCTGGATGGTAAGAGGCAGGAGAGACGTGTGGATCCCATTGGGTGAGTTCTAGTTCAGCACACGAGGATTCCAGCTCTGGAAAAGGTCTTCCAAGGTAGGAAAAAAAAAAAATCTGGGACTTTCCTCTTACGCTGGTTTCCCCAGCCTCTGGCCATTAGGAGACCACGTGATCACAGAAGACTGGACCAAGCATAAAAGACTCTGTAGCATGGCCTTTGCGCTTACAGAGGAGGGATAGAGGCTCCATTCTGAAGACGGCCATGGCTTAGTGAATCTCATAAAACCTTCCGAATGGTTGTCTCTGTGAAGAACTGATAGATGGGTTTGACTGTGCTTAATGGGGGTCCAAATTTCCCCTTCCGAGCCCCAGCACGGGTCCCTCTCCAGCCCCTGTGGTAGAGCCTTTAAGCTGCAGCCCTGGAATATGCACTGCACCTTGCCTTCTGCGGTTGTTTCCTAGGTGAGCGTCCCACCAGTGGGCAGCTCAGGGTGTGTGAGTGACTTTTCAGTCCTAACTTCTACTTTTTGAGGGAGAAAGTGTCTTGGTCAAAACAACATGAACAGCAATCCTCCTGAAATGAAAATGAACAAATGGCATCCAGTTGGAGCCCAGGCTTCTTCCAGGTCTCCACCCACACAGGAAGAGTCTGTGCTTCCCGGTATGTGCCTGCGTACTGTGTCTGGTGCTTATTTCAAAACCCTGCCTGAGAAAGTTCCGCAGGACTCTTGACATGTCGACAAACAGCTTAGTCTCCCCTTTGAACCTGAGGGAAGCCAGACAGAAATGGAGTCAAATTTGACAAGCTGGAGAAAGAGGCTGTCCTTGGCTGTTGCTTAGGCCCCTGAGGGATGTCTTCACCTCTGATGCAAGACCTGCCCAGAAGGGAGGCCCTGGGCAATCCCTAGGCTTCCTGGGGCCACTTCTTTATTATCAGTTTCTCCCTTGCTTCTGCCTAAGCTATCAGAGTCCACAGGCAGGCCCGGCAGCAGGGCTGTACTCCCAGCAGCTCCGCTGTGATTAAAAGGGCAACTGGGCCCCTCCACCTCTTCTTCCGGTGCCTGTGTGGGCATCATCATGAGCAAGAGCTGCCTGGCAGGTGACCGCAGATCCTGTATAATCCTTCTGCCTTGGCCCCCTTTCCCTAGATCCCCTTCTGCTGCTCTCACTCACACTTGTTTGCGAACAGCTAGAAGGAATTAAAGCGTGCTAAAGGATCAGGCTAGAAGACTTATACGTCCAATGGCAAATCCTTTTTCTTTTTGCTTTATGTCCTACTGTTATCTGTGGCAGTTGGGGTTTGACTTTTGTGTCACTAGAAAGTAACAATGGTGTGCCCCAGAATTTCTTAAGCAGTACTTGCAAAGCAAGTGTGGATTTCGGCTTCAGAACTCAAGTGGACAATGTATATTCTTGGGCAGTTAAGTGTGAAGAAACGGCCTTTGGAGCAGCAAACGCTGATGAAACGGCCTACTGTTCTCCAACCCCTGTGGTAGAATCCGGGAGATACAAAGATGATAAGGCACACCCCGCCACCTCTAAGTCTGAATTTCTCTCAAACTTTCACTTCATGGTAAAACATGAGACTGATTAGCATTTTGTTCCCTAACAATGATTTTAGGAGAGTGGGATTGTGGGATTGTCCAAGTAGCTATTTGTATCTATACACGGTGGGAGTGTGCACCTGTGGCTACCAGCATATACAGAAGAGGAAACCCGCTTTATTTACTTAGTGATGCGTCCTGGGGTCTTACAATCCACAGCTTTTAGTGTGTTTAAAAGAAATCTCACCCAGAGCCCCACTGTGATGTGTGAAGCAAGACCAAGCATGTGGAGTGTTGGACATATGTCGTCGATGGGAAGCGGACTCAAAGGAGAATCAGGTCTCGGCATCGGTGGCACAGAAAGTTGGAAGGGACTTGGCTGTGGAGCTAATGGGAGATCTCAGTACGCAAAGATAAAACAGATATGAGAAGGTATACAAATGACTACATATGTCTATAATGTGTAAAAGCAGTAGGTCTGTCTTTATGTGTACAGAGAAATTTTTAAAAATATTCAATGATATTTGATTAACATTGGCAGTGACATATGAACATGAGTAGGCATGGATCTGAAACCATAGACCCTTTCCCTGAGGTTGAAATTGTGGGAGATTCATTTGACTGTGCTGATGGAGAGAAGCCATGCGGTACGGCATCAGGGGCAGACACATTTGGATCTTCGTCTTCAGCCATGGACTGCCACAACTGAATGAGAGGCCGGGGTAACACCATGAGATGAGAAGACCTAGGCTGTTTTCTGCCTGGATGCATAAGTCAAAATTTATGGTAAATAAACGTTACTACTTCGAGCCACTGAATTTTAGTGTCTGTAGTTCATCTCACAGGAACAGATAATAAGATCATCATATCTTAAAGTTCAGGAACTAGTCCCAGAAACAAAAACCACTTATCAAAATTCTTCTTTAGACACACCACCACCTTAGACAGGAAAACAAATTCTGGTGAACAAGAATATGTAGTCAGAGAAACCCTAAGATCAGAGACTGCTGGGACTGCCAATTGCTAAAGTGCTATTGTTGCGGACTAATCACTGGTGGACCCTACACACTAGGGATCTGGGGCCTTACAGCACCCAGGGATCTGAGCAATTTGGTTACTTTGCTTCCCCCATGAGCAGCTTTCTTCTTTTAAAGCCTTGAAATTGTCTCTTTAGCTATACGTGCCTGCTTCTCAGGTGTGTTCATCACTCTTACCTACCATGAGGGCCAGCAGCCCTTCCCAACATTCTCACCAGCAGAAGTCTTGCCAGAGGCTGACAGCCAGATGTGCTTGCCTGTGAATTAGGAGGGTCCAGAGCAAGAGAAGCTGGAGGGCGGCTCCTCTGCTGGGGAGGGCAGAAGTGAGGGTTTCAGTGGTTATCAGATTCTGCACTGACTCCCAGACATCTCTCTGTGAATCATCCACACCAGTTCAAGAAGCAGATGTGAGGAGCAGCAGCAGCAGCAGCAGCAGCAGCAGCAGCAGCAGCAGCAGCAGCAGCAGCCTCCTGAAGTCTCTACATCTTTGTGAATCGGAGAGCAAAGAGTAGATGTGAAAGCTCATGGCTTCCCCTCACCTTCCTTCCCTGCATTCTCCTGGATCTTCTATAAGTTTTGCATGCATCCCAGTTCCCTGTATTAAATTCCTTTTCTAACTGGACCACGAAGTGTGGCTTCTGGGTTTCTCTCCTAATGCACATGAAGTCTGGATGAAAGGGTAACAAATAAGGAAGAAGCATTTTGTGACATGTACACATGCGCACCATTCATTTTTACAAATATCGGGGTGTCCCCTCCTTAAAATTTGGAACAAAAATGCTTGGCATACAGCATAGCAGGCAATGAATGTGGAATCATAAAGTAGAAAGAAAGAAGAGGAAAGTAAAAAGTTCAGTCCAATTGAGATCCTGGGGTCAAGGGAATTTAATACTAACCAAAGAAAAATGTTATAGGTAGTTTCATTAAAATCAGGAAACAAACAAAGGGAGCCTAGTTAAATGTGAGCTGTACATAAATCATACTGCAAGTAGAGAATATCCCAGGAAAGATGGTCGTGTCCTAATCCCTGGACTCTACAAATAAATACATGACCATACTTGACAAATGGGACTCTTACATGACTCTTACATGATTCTTACATGGATTACAAGGTCCAGATCTTGAGACAAGGAGAGTGGTCACCTGAGTCCTTAAGAAGGGGAACTTTTGCCAACTACAATCAGAAGGAAAGGTAGCTGAGGAAGGAAGACATGGGTGGCTTTGAAGATGCAGGAAGAGTCCATGATGCAAGTATACGGGTGACCCCAGAAGCTACCAAAGGAAAGAAAATGAGTTATCTCCTGTAGCCTCCAAAATGGACTGGACCTCCACCCCACTCTGTGATCCCAGATCACTGATGTCTGCATCAGAATTCTAAACAACAGACTTGTAAGTTACCTTATAAGCCACTAAATGTGGAATGGTTTGTCCCAGGAACAATAGACAGACAAATACAAACAGCTGATAATTTTAGTATAAATTTGGTCATATGATATTTGGTATATATACTTAATGAGAATTGCTTCTTTTTAAAGTGGAAATGAACCAAGTCCTACTTTTTACCTGGCAGCTTGTTTTATAGAGAAGTGGGTTCCCAGAGTCCTCCCCCATCTCTGTATCCATCCTTATAACAGTTGAGAGCACTTCCTATGTACTAGGCACTGAAACCAACATGAGGCCCATTTAATTTCATTGACATCTTCCAAATCCTGTGTGTGGGTATTATCATGTCCATTGTAGAAATGTGGTAGTTGAGTCTATGAAAACTCAGACTGTTCAAGTTCTGACAGGTGGGGGAGCAACTGTGGAGGTGTGCTGGGTCTGTCTGATTTCAGAATCCACTTCGTTATTACCTTGATCGTGTTCCATTTTCACAGCTAAAGCCCCGAAGACCTTCGCTATTGCTTCCACACCCACAAACCCTAAATCCTGGACCAGTCATCTCAAGTCTGTCACTCCTCTGTCTCATGTCATCTAGACTGCTTTCTCAGAGGTCAGCAGGGGCCTCTGAGCTGTTTCCAATTCTTACTCACCACGCTAGTTCCCTTCCCTTCAGCATGGGGAACCTTGGCTGTCATTTTTACTACCACTACATATTGGCTTTCATGTTGGAATTCTGATTCCTCCTCTTCTGCCTCTATGGGTATTCTTCCTGTCTCCTTACCCTATTGACTCTGTGTGTGTGTGCTTGTGTGTATGCTTTTGTGTGTGTGTGTGCTCGCGTGTGTGTGTTGCTGAAGACTGACTCCATGGCTTTGTGCATCCTAGGATTGCTCCACCGTGGACATCATCCCACCCTCTCCTCCTGACAAATCTCGAGTGTGACAGATTTCTGTTCTTCCTCAGTGCTGTCTCTTCATTTCAGAACTCCTCTCATAATCTCGTTCATGGTTACAGCTTCAGCTTTATCTCTCTCTAGGATCCCCAGATCAGATGTGAACTGCAGCTTCCTCAGGTCTCATCAGTCGCCATCTTCGTGAGATGCCTGGGAACTGTCTCCGAGGTCTGGGCCCCACCTTAAGACAGTGCCGTTCGATCTGGAAGGGGACCTAAGAGTGGGAGTTTTCTATGGCTGCTCTTCTAAGTTAGCTTCAGCTTGGTGGCCTGAAAGAAAACAAACGTATTCTCCTCATAGCTTGTAGGCCAGAACTGTTTAATAGCACTCATTGAGCTTAAAGTTAGATTCCTCTCTTATTGGTGGCCATAGTGGAGAGCTTGTCCCTTCCTTGTTTGGGAAGCTATCCTGTCCCTCCTGTTCCTTCCTGGCATGTCACATCCCCATTGATCCCCATCCTCCTCTGGTCACATTGTCTCTTCTTTCTCCTGTACACCTGTTTCTTTCTTTCCTAATCCCCCTATCTTTCTTACTAAGTAAGACATATTTTTTTATTCATTCCTAGATAATCCAGTGTAATCTTTTCATCTAAAGAATAGGAGAAAAGTCTTCCTTGTCATTCAGACTCTCACAGATTCTTGGGATTAAGCTTCAGATATCCTTCCTTGTGGTCATTATCAGCCTGGCCTGCCAGGTAATGCTATTCTGCAGACAAACTGCAGTCCCTCACATAACAAGTCTCTTCTTCAAGTCTCTAGACTCTAATCCAATGCTCAACATCGTTTTTGTTGGTTTTTTTTTTGTTTGTTTGTTTGTTTGTTTTTTAACAAGCATGTGTTATAATGGGCTCCTGCAGAAATCCCACAGAAGTCCCCCTCTCTTTTCAGAACACATGGCAGCAAGTCCAGTGCACACAGATATGGGGACTGCTGGCCTATCAAGTAGGGCCACCTGCTCTTCTGCACATCCGCTTTGCTTCTTTCGTGTTGATTTTCTTAGAACATGCCTGGTCCTGTGATTGGCGTCTTTGCTCAGCGTTGTTTCCATCACATGTGAGCCATTCCTCACCCTCCTGGCCTTACCCTACACTTGAGCAGGCTGCATTGTTTTCCTAAGCTGCTGTGCCCCAGTACCTCCCAGGTTGACTTTTGCAGTAGCAATGGGCTGACTTGTAGCTCTAGAGGCTTGAAACCTGAAGTCAAGGTATCAGCAAGTTGATGGCCTTTGAGGCCTGTGAGGGAAGGGTCTGTTCTGTCCAAGACCTTGTGCCTTGGTTTTCTTAGGGCTGTTCCCTGCCATGGCTCTTCACCTCATGTTTCTTCTGTGTGTATCCATCAACGAATTTTCCCTCTTTAAGGATACAACTTAAGTTGGAGTCAGTACCAATCCTGGCAGACTCATTTTAACTTGGTCATCTTTGAAGAGATGATATCTTACAGAAGGTCTCATTCTGAGCTCTTAAGGGTTAGGGATTTAATATGTGCAGTTTGGAGGGACATGATCCAACCCATAACACTAGCTAGTCATGGTTATACTTTAATTCTGAAGTGTTGAGGCCTTTCTGCACTGTAGGCCGAGGGCTCCTCCCTCTTCTGAACCATGCAACTGTATTTGTACTTTCTTTTGGATAAATGACAAACTTAAAGGTGATGGCGTCTCTTTGAACAATACCATGCATATATCCACGTCTGTGTAGACCCATAGCCATGTGTCCTTCCCAAATAGAGCCTAAGCTTTGGAGATAGCTGTGTGGCTTATTGATCTTATGACACTCACGCTGTCTATGACATATATCTTCAGTAAATATTTATTGATTTAAATTCAGAAAATTTGAGAGTTTAGTTTGGAAAAGAGAGCAGAAAATATTTTTTTTAAAACACAGAAAATTATCTGCTATTTTCTATCACTGGCTGAAAGATACCTTCAATACTTTTATGTGGGGAGGAGCCTGCTTTATGAGACCGGTTTTCTCATGGAACTCAGACTGGCCTCGCGCTTACAATGATCCTTCTGTCTCAGTCTCCTGAGCACTGGGATTACAGCTGTCCTCCCATGACAGGTTCCGGCAGTGCCTTTGTTGGCGAGAATCTGAGAGGATGTTTTCAAGTGGCTGTCATGAAATGCCGTGAGCCAGTCAAAGAAGAGGAGGGGAGGCGAAGAAGCAAAGCAAGACCCTAGATATTCAGACTAGTTCATCTACAAGTTGGGGGAGGCAAGGCCGACAGCATTGCAACATCCCCACCTTCGCCACCTCCAGCCCCAAACGCCAGCGATAGTGTAGGGCTGGAGAGGGCTTATCAAGCTCACCCAGTCATCCTGAGTGAGAAACTGCCAACGTCTTGCTGCATGGCCTTGAATCACCCTCTTCTCGTTTCCCGTTAGTCTTCTGCTGCCAGGCTCGGATGCTCTAGTCGCTTCTACACCCGCAGTGCGTGGGTTAATGATTAATAAAGGACCATTTGTGTGGTTAGAGAAGCATTGCCTTCGTAGCCCTGGAGGAGGGTCTCCACGTACATTATAAATTCTGAAATACCCGAGCGTCATCCCTCCAAAGAGGAATGCACCCAAGCCTTCCAGATAATGAAACAGTTGAGCCAGCTGCTAACAATAAACCTCCTTTACATGGAAATAGGACAACATTTTAGCGCCTGCACTTTGTCAGCTTTATGTACTGGTTAGTCCCGACTGTTTCCCAGCCCAGGTGTCCCGTATGCCTCTGCCGCTTTACCACATGTATGTGACATTCCTTTTAATTTTCGCTTCATTTCTTATTATCTTGCCTGGATTCCAGGTCATACCAGCCGGCTCTTCCTGGTGCTGATGCTGGGCGAGATGGGAGCCTGTTCAAGCTTCACCCCACCTATCGCATAGGTGGGGCTTTCCATGACTCTTTTAGCTCCGTGACCCTGCCATTCTCGCCCCCTCCCTCGTGGCTCCTAGGTCCCAGGAATGGCTACCTCCTCTGCCGCCATTCCTGAGTGCTTACCAAGTATTAGGTTAATCTGCTGCTTTCTCTTTGCAGCTGCTGCTCTCTGCAAAGGAAGAGGAATCCTCGGGCCTCAGATGCTTGTTCGAGTGGGCTGCCTTTCCCTGTCTGAACTCTGAAATGTGGGGTTAGGCTTACGGCCTCTAAATTTCTGGAGCAGCTGGGGGTTATTTTTGAAGTAGGGGCATTAAAGAAACAACAAGTGCAGTTGTCCAGGACTTTCCTCCATGTGGGACTGTACAGGAGGTCAAAGGTTAAGGGGGAGCTAGGC